AGGAACAAAGTAGGAGCTGGGGGAAAACCATGAAGTGAATGGACTCTTCATAACTACCAACAGGCCCTATGATATAAATGGACTTTGGAAAATATAAGTTTTAAAAATTATCTTTACTCTTTCACTCATTAGCAATCTGAAAATCCTGACTGCTGATAGATTAATTGAAGAGCTGTCCCTAGTATTTTGTAGAGTCCAATATATTTTCATTAGTTTTGTAAGCTTTGTCATTATGATATTTTATATCTTTTTCCCTGTTAATATTTGCCATCAAAAAATAAGAAAACGACTGCTTTTCTAGGTTATCTTCTACATGGACTAAGATCACTTGGAGCTCCTGATGCCAAGACCTACCTATTCAAGTTATACTTTGCTCTCTGTGTTTTATTACCTTTATTGGTAGTTGCTTCACTGTACAACTGCAAAATATAAGCAAAAAATTTCTTCATATTTTACCAAAGTATCTTCTTCAGTATGTTTTTGAAAATTAAAACACAGAACTTGTCACTGGACTGTAAGATTAAACAAAGTGTGTACAATGGACACACCCTAATCTCAACCCATCTGATTGGTGTTACTCTCTTCCAGTTTCACTCAACATGTGGCTCAGATGTGTTGGATATACTGAGAATTACATTCCATAAACTATATATTCTGCAGAATTAAACTACTACATGGCTGATGATATCACAGCAACTTAAAAAATGCTTTTTTAAAGAAGATTTGCAAAATACCCACATTGTGTTTGTTCAAATGTATTTGCTGTATTAGGGACACAAATCATCAAACCATCAAACTATGTGTTTCGAACACAAAACCAACACAAGTAAAGAAACAAACCACTGCAATTTAATAGCAACAATCTCACTTTACAAGATAATAATGATGGAAACTTTGCAAAGGAATCTGAAAAAGAATGTAATTAAAAATAACAGATTTAAGACAACAAAAAGTTGAAAATTAAACAGCACAATAATTCTAGTATGCGGAAATTTTAACCAGAACGTTTACTTGATTCTGATTGCAGCTTTCTGATTAATAAGTGACACTTTATTACGAGCACTTACTGACATCTGATAAATACTATTCCTTTAAAGCAGTATTTTTCTGTTCAGTGACCTTGCACAGACTGACAATAAGTAACCCAGACCCCAGAGCCAGTTCACGTGTGGTCAGTAGCAAAATTCCTACACAGAACAGGAAAGGACCTGGAATGCGTGTGATTACTAAAACTTAACTTACTGCTAATATGGTGGTTTCAATATTCAATGCACTTCACAAATATTATTTTAGATTTAAGACATATACCACTTCCAAGCATGAAACAAAGCAAAACAGAGGCAGTGTGGCTTTGTGGATGGAGGGGAGCACTGGACTGGGAACTAGGAAACTGGGATTCAGTTCATGGCTTGAGGCCAGACTCCCAGGTAAGACATTCAATAAGATGGAAATTACAACACTGACCTCCTAAGAAAACTTTGAAATCTACCGAAAAAAAGAACAGTGAATCCAAGTCAGGGCTTACTATTAAAAATTAAACAGAAACTGTATAACACTTTCCCTAATCACTTTAGAGATTACATAATAATTAACTTTATTAAGCATGACTGCTGCTAATGCTGCATAAAAATAATTGAATGAAAGATGATAAACTGAATGTATATGAAGGATTCCTCAAGAGTGGAGGTCACATACTTTCTCTTCTTGGAACCCAATTCATGAAGAAGTCAGAAGTGTGCAATAAGTGCGGGTACCTGCAGAAATCTCAGAAAGAAAACTGGTCCCACAGTAAGTGTGACTCCATAGAGAATTTTGGTGATATTAGGTTTTCATTTCCAAAGTCTTCAGTGATACTTAAGCAAATAGTTATGTATTTATCGAGACAGGAAGGGGTCTGAAAAGGGGTCTAAATTCCAGTATTGACTGAAGCTCATGAGAACTGCATAGGAAAGTGTGCTCGTAAGTCACACAAGCATAAATATGCACAGCAAAAGTGAAACCGAAGTATTTTTCTTATTAAATAATATAAAATAATTTGATGACCACCAACAGAGGAAAAAATCCACAAAGATATTTTTTGCAGTTTATTTTCAATTATAATTTTTGGATAACCAAGCAGCTCTGTATGGAGAAAGCACAGAAGAGTCATTCTGGCACTTTTGGATAGTACTTTTTTTTTTTTTTTTCCCAAAATTTTTCTAGACACATTCAGTCCACTTGCTCGGTCTATAGTCCATTTTATATGAGCATGATTAGCTCATATGATTCCAGAGGAAACTAACAATATATACAGTCAATGAAACTAGCTTCTTGGCTACTCTGGGCCGTTTAAAATGTCTTCTAAGTCTACCCTGGCTAAACAGAATCCACAATATACATGATAGCTACAGAATACACTGTACTGAAATGAGAAATGCTCAGCACAAAATGGGACTCTTGGCATGCAGCTTAAAATAAAAGGTAGAAGTTCAGAAGTTTATAAAATCCCAAATGGGGTTAATTAAAAGGAGTTAGCAAAAGAAGGGTCTGTTCATTGTTACTGTAAAAAAGGCACTTTGAGTAAATGGGACCAGAATTGGAGGAATCTTAGTCGACACAAAGTTCAGTTTGGTTTCATAAAAAGGCTTCAATGCTAAGGGATGCTACTCAAGTTTCCTGCAGTTTTACATTAAAATAAATTGCTGAGTAGTTTATAATAAAAGACATAAAATGTTTACAACCAACTCGTAAAATTAAGAAAAGCATAGTATAAGCAAAATATTACTAAAAGCAGCAATGCATAGCCTTTCATTGAGATAATGCACAATTTTGGACACCAAGTGTCAAACGCTTGTTTTTAAGATACTTTCAGTAGCATTATCAACATAAAATTGGCCTACAAAACAAAAGCTTTACCAGCTCCCATTCATAAGGAGATTGAGGTCATAAACCAACCAAAACAATTTGTCAGTATTTTCAACATCCTGGATGACCAATATCAAGTATATGGAATAACAATCACACTCTTTGTACAGCTATCTCACTGGAGGCAGCTGTTAAATCAGAGGAATGATTTTAATTCTTTTCTAACATTTACACAGTAATGCTTTTAAGTTCTTTCAAATGTTGCTCACTACAGTTTGTTTTTCTCTTTTCTCTCAACAACAAAAAAAAAAAAGAAAAAAAATCAAGCACTTCCACAGAAAGAATATTTGGCAATTTTATACTCCACTGAATGGTGGATTTTCACAATAGCTCACTTTAGATTGAAAGTCATTAGTGGTCTTTCCTCTCGTTTCTGCCAAGGACTCTTCTTATCTTCACCTTGGTCATCTTCCTCATCCTCCTCATCATCTTGAACTGATGTTCTGTGTTCAGGACTAGTTAATGGCTCTGGTTTGGTATCCACAGTTCTTGTTTCCTCCTGCAGGCTGGGCAGCTGCACGCCACTTCTCTTACTAGTGCCTTCTAGTAGGCATCGTAGAGCATTGTCCTCAGGGCTACAAACTGCTGTTCCACACTCGCTGCCACTTTGGTCCATATCATCCAAGTACACAAGTTGTGTGTAAGCTGTGCTATCGGAAACCTTCCGCTCTCTCTGCTGGTGCTCCTGCACTGGTGGGTGACTCTGTGGTGCAGACAGATGATCTCCTCTTCCCTTTCGGGCAGATTTTGGTTCATTCATGTCAACACCAGAGTCCAAACTGGCATCATTACTCCCATTCCTACCAGCTCTTTGGAGATCGATGTATGAATGTCTAACATGAGCATTTGAACGTCCATCTAGAGAAACAAACCATGCTCGAGGATGAGGCAATGGCTTTCCACCTCCTAATTCCATCAAAGCCTTTTCTGTAAGAAGCTGCACTTCACTATTCATTTGAGCCAAGGACGCATCATTAAGTGAGGCAGGAATGGAAATAGATTCAGACATGGAAGCGTTTTGTTGACTCCACTCAGCTGCACCTGCATCTTGCAAATGTTGCTGAGATATTGCTTGGGATGCTAACTGTTGGGGTTGCAGCTGTTGTGGGGGGTGTGGAAAAAGCCGTGCATGAGGGTTAGGGAGCTCAGCTTGAAGTCTTTCTATATCAATCTGCTGGTCAGCTGGGACAACCAGTGGCTGGCTAACAAAAGGGTGTTCTCCTGGCAATTTCATGTAATGACCTGGGATGACCAAAGCAGGCAAAACTTTTCTGTAAACACTGTCATTGACTTGGTCAACAGAATTGCAGCAGATTAACTGGCCTGGTCGAGGGAAGGATGTAGGTCTTTCAAGGTGATCAACTGAACGAGACATCATACAATCAGTAGGTCTGCAGTCCAGCAGCTCTTTTTCAGGGGCTGAAGGTGTGGGGTATATTTGTTCCTGAATATTGTATTTACTTCCAGTAGCAATATGGTTCATAGATACTTGAATTTCTCTCTCTTGCTTTTCAAATAAAGGCTGAGACAGCATAGCATTGTAACTTCTCCTATACTCATCTTTGATAGGGGACTCATAGCCTTCAGCTGCTTCTGTAGATGTTCTTGGCTTTAAAGGAAAACTATCTGCTGATTTGTGGTAGTCTTTTCTTAGAGACCCGCTGGGAGTCAGGTCATCCAAGGAAATTCTGCTCTTGTCTTTCTCCTTGTCAGAGAGCAGTTCCTCTCGGGAGCTAAACTCCTGGGAAGTACTGAATGAGTGTTTGAGCATAGGTGTATGCATATCTGCTTCTCCACTAGGTGACACCATCTCCATGTGGACAGCGCTGATTAATTCTTTTGCACCTGAGTTTTCAGGCTGTCCATTGCTTGCAACGGACAGACCACCAGGAAATTCTGACTCGCGACGTGAAAATATTAAATTTATATGGGACATAGAGGTTGCTTGATCCTTCTTAGAAGTGTCCAGTGCTGTGGAAAGTTGCAATTTCTTATGATGCTGACGTGGTCTTAAACATTTTCTTCTATAAAAGCCAGTAACAAAAGAAGTTACACATTTATGACTGTTGTACACAGAAACAAGAGCAGCAAGTGTGTCTTAATGGGAGATTTTAAAGCAGTGATCAGTATTAGGGGAATTGAGCTTCTATTACATAACCTAACAATTAAAAGCTTATCCCAGCAGTGTAGATAAAATTAAAGAACAACTAATGTCAATTGGGAAATATCTCCAGCACCAATTACAAATTGGAGCAAATGCCTGGAGGAGGCAAACACAAAATCACTCATTAATATACCCTTGCTGATAAAAGTTTAACATCCATTTTAATATGAGAGTAATAAAAAGATTACATGCAAGTGCAGAACATGTACAGTGACACGAGATCTTGGACCTATGCCCACCTTTGACAGGAGGTTTTAGAACATCTTACAAGGGAAACACAGGTACACGTGTGTGTGATTCATTCAGCTACCATCCCACCAAAGGCAGGGATTGTATATGCTCCATGCAACCAGGAACATATGAAAATCTGATCTCACTGTTTCTTTCTCCTTCAAGCGCTTGTTTGCTTTCCCTCCCCCCAAAGCAAAAAAGTTTCAGTACAAAAGCTTTGAATTTCATAAGCACAAAAAAAGCCTTTATGGTGAAATCTTACCTGCAATAATACAAAAGCAGACACAGCAAGACTAGAAGTATGAGAGCCATCCCTCCCAAAATTGCCAAAAGAAACATTGTGTGATAGCTGGTAATGTCATGTGTTACAACGGGACCTGGAAGGCCAGAAAAGATAATTTAGACCTGTAAAACCTGCAAACAGGAAGAGGAACAACACTTAAACAAATACAGGGACATCGTCCTCTGTTATCAGGGTGCTAAGTGAGCAATGCTGCCACTCATAGCTCTGGTGCCTATTGAGCAGACCGCCTCTGGAGAAGGGAGCAAGTTGTGCAGAAAGCATGTGCTGGTTTTCATTACTGCAAGTCCAAATAGATCCCTCTGTGGAAGAGCAGTTAGTTTCAATGGGAGCATGCATCAGTGAATGCTGCCTTCCAGGTTCTGCTGCTGACACAGTGTGCCAAAGCTCTCATCAGTGGAGAAAAGCCATCACAGCATCTTCCAGCACTGTAATGCATGTAGCAGCACTGCGGCCAACTATTTCTCTTTAACAACATTTGTGGTGCTTTGCACTAAACAGTACATACAGTGCAGTACAGGATTAATTGGAGGATGCACTGGTGTTCTTAAGTCTATCAAGCGAAGCCAAGCAGATCTTCAGTAGCTTTAAACAACAAGCCACCAGTGAAAGTGTTGTGACTCCAGGATTCAATAATGCTTAGTACATGTTCTAACATACAAAGGAATGCACACATGTGGACAGCATCTGTTCACAATTAAGCACGTGTAACCCTCTTGGTTTGTAAAATCCTTATCAGGATTTTGAAGTAAAGGCCCAAATTTTCATCTGCAGGCAAGGAGGTACAGCACCAGCTGATAGAGTAACATGCGTGTACTGTGACGGACAGCAAACTTGGCCAGCATTGAGGTTCTAGATCACGAGGTTTGTAAAACTGTATCTGTGGATCTTGAGTGGTCTGTAGAGCCACTGCTAGGAACACCAAGTTTATTTTTTTCAATTTTTTTTGATAAAGAAATCAAATAGATTCAATGAGGAGAGAAGCAAAAAGTCAGGAACCTGATTAAAAATAACATCAAGCATTGGGGAAATCTAAATATTTATACATTCTGTCCTGCCACTACCTTTATATAATAGATTGATACTGTTGCTTCAGGACATTAAGCAAAAAAGAGATAAATCACTTCAATTTTTCATGGAAATGTTGTTCCTGTTGCAACAGAGTTGCAGATCTAGACAGATCTAGCCCTCAGAAAGAAGCAAGAGTAAAATACAAGTAGAAATTCTGCCATGCAAGTTAAACGGCAAGGACAAATAAGCCTTCTCCTGTTAGAGTTACAGGCACAATTTCATGACTCGTGTAACTTCCTTGCAGTTTGGGGCAGAGCTGTACTGGGAAACGTTTGTCTCAGAGCAGTTACTTTTTCTTGAAGCACAATTATTTTGTAAAATTCCATTGAATTCAATATGATAGCTTATTCAGATCTGCACCTGCCTCTAATCTCCGTTCCACAATGAATCAGCTGAATATTACAGCAGTTTCATTTAATATAACTGCAAATAAAAAGCTTGCGTAAGGTATAACGCAGCAAAACCCTCCAAATGCTCTGCATATCATGAAACAACTTCCTGGCATATACAAGTAGACTTTAAAAACAGTACTCGTGTTAGAGTTTGTTTTTTTGGTTAGATGTAGTTTATTTAGCTTGCACAGCCAAGGCAAGATTGTTTTCATTTCTACTGTATTTGGTTTTTCATCCAGAAAACCTAATAAAAAAAATCTGTAAGAGGAATTTTTTGTTTGATCAATTGGCTCTTTTATACACAGAGGCATCTCTGATTATTGGTGGCTGAAGGACTAATACTAAGAAGTATGAGGCAGCCACAGACAGAAAAAGGGAAGAGCAAGCTGCAACATTAATAATCTCCACAGGCACAAAAGTACAAAGTGATTTTCTACATTTATGCCAGGAGGCTTGCAGATGGCAACCAGTGAGCTCATCTAGCAATGCCACTCTGCTAATACACTTCCTAGAACTTCTACGCGGAGTTAATCGCAGTGTAAATTAATCAGTCACCAAGATGATGCAAAGCATACGTCAGGGCAAAATGGGCATCTCCAGTGTAAAAGAAAAAAGTTATGATCAATTAATTCATTAGTAAATGTCTAAACCACGACAATGGTGGTCTTAGATCAATACTTTTCTTTGGGAGACTCTGTACAGAAACTTCACAGCACATATTTTTCTACCTGCTGGAACAGCAATACACTGATGTTGTAACTCCCCTCATTTTCTAGCAATGGCTCTACCAGGTAGTGGTGACATAAATGCATCAAATCAGGAACATTTTAGAAAGTTTCACATTGAAATGACTCAGAGATTTTGAGCACAAGAGTTGCCCCCCACAAGCCCCAAAAGATTTTAGCCCTTTACTTTCAGCTTTCTGTTTTCTAATAATCCATTATTGATCAAGCTGTGGCATCTCAGATGAGGTCATTCTGAAAAATATAAATGTTATATATGAATAAATAATTACTTAATGCTGGGAATATCAATGAAATTAAATTTCATCTTACCTGGGATAGTAGGTGACATAGCTGCAACCCAGTAGCCCAGCTGAGGTGCAATATAAGTCCAAGTCAACTGATTTCCTTCTTGTTGTACAAGGCCCAAACTACTCTTCAGCCATGTCCCTGTAAATAAAAAGGTTGTAGGAAGATGTTACAGATACACCCACACCTTCCTCTGCAAACAAGTGGAAAACCGAACAGTAACAAGACCTATCAATGTGCTCTAGGGCTTGCGTGCACTGCTGTGAAGTGGGAGATCATGCCTTTTTGTCACCGGCATCTGAGGGCTCCCAAAAGCAATCATCCCTGTGGCCTTCTCAGAAGCTTTGTACACAAAAAAAACCCATTTAAGATTAAATAAAACTAATAAAGCTTCAAAAAGAGTTAAAGAAAATAATTAGAATAATTATAGATTCCTCTTTGCCAAGGATTCTCCTGAAGCTGATTATATGTAGACGGCCTACTTAAAAACTGCCTTTGAAGAGGCATCACATCTCCCAGACCACACTTGAGTTATGCACACCACCTTTCTATCAGCTCTGGCTGTCAACTTCTGGAAGGCTGAAGAAAATGCTTCCTCAAAATGTTGTCTTTCCTATAGAGAAAACAAGCTTATGAAGGCTACTGCCAATAAATACATAATTAAGTTGCACCATCACTTCGATTCAGCAACGACAGTCATTCAGAATACGTATACATCCAGGAATACTGTTTGGTAATGGATGATGAGTTTTAAAAAACATGTTTCTCAAAGGAAATAAAACAGATTTTTCAGAATTATCTAATATCACTCCAAAATAAGTAAGAATGACAATTTTAAAGGACTGCGTTCAAGTTAACAAAACTCCTAAACAGTCCGGAATGACAATCTGCACTACTTGAGAGTTGTTCTATTTGCAGAAGATACATTTTGTTGCAAGAATTGGGCTACAAAAAAACCTTTACAACTGAATCAGCTGGACTGGACACTGAGAGCGGCTGCTGAGAAGCCACCCCAGCACCAAGCACGTCCCAAAGCCGCAGCCCTGGCTTGGCATCACCAGTGGGTGCCGTAACAAAGGGCATCAACTCTCTAAGGAGGTTCTTCACACACTTTGGTGGCCACTACCAGTATGGCTGATCTGTGTACAGAGAAGGGATAAAACCCTCAGTGCTTCTGCAGAGCAGCTCTGTACTTCTGTGCAAAGGCAGGACAGAATGCTGCATTTACCTTAGCTTCAAATGCTCGCTTTAAAGGGAAGTTGCATCTTGCATCTGTGATTCCCTTTCCTTTAAATAGCCTCCTGCACGAAATTCCCCAACGGGAGATTTTAATCAGACGTTGCTCAGGTCTAAGCATGAGAATTTGTGGATGACAGTCATCTGTACAGTTAGCAGTGAGTGCAGAGCACACAGAGATGCTGTTCGGGTGGGGTTTTTTCAATACCACTGAGATCCTGATTATTTCCTCTGTGTTTCTTGAGTATTGCTCTGTGCAAACCCTGTGCATAAGAGAATGGCTTTTCTGAGTATTTATTATCTCTCTACTACTGATTTTTCCTATGTAAGTACACTCTTAAAGTCCACCACTGTCAGCTAAATAATAAACCCATCTGTATATAAAGGTGACGTCTGAGAAAACGTCTAGATCTAGGTGATTATCACTGCCACATAGAGACTCTATTTGAAACCAATCTGAACTTGTGGGCAACAGGGGTAAGGAATTGCTGACATAATTTTCAGTTTTCCAAGTATCATTTCCAGTCTATAGCAATAATCTGTTATTAGATCTGTTAGACCAAAACATGTATGCACAGATTTGCACATATGACATCTGTAATTGTCATATCAGAACACTGTGATGTGGCTATTAGTTTACGTCTTTTAGGGCAGCATTATCAAGAAGAATAGAACTGAATTGTCCAGTTATGTGTGAAGTTTCTGGAAAAACTAGGAAAAGTAGATTAATTTTCTCCTCCAAGACGGCCACCTTCCCTTCATGTTTTCTACCCATATATTTTTGAGGAAAATGTCATACTAATAGCCCTGAACCACAAGGTGAAAAATAGCCCATGGGGTCAAAACCTGCTTCTATTTTGTGCCTAAAAAAGCCATTTGGTAGGAAAACTCCTGTTAGCTTAAACCTCACTTTTTTTTTTTTCTTTTTTTTTTTTTCCCTGCAAGGTCTGTTCACCAAATAATCTAGGCCGAGATACAGGGACTGAGAAAATTGCTGCTTCAGGCAGTGCGCATATGCACCAACTATTCAAATACACAACTGCGTGGAACGACTAAAAGAGTTATAAAAATCCCTGATTTAAAAAAAGAATGGAAAGACCTGGGTGGTGAATTCATCATACTTCCTATACTTTCCCATCTCTAAGCCCTTTAAATTCACACACAAACAGAAGCACATACAGATGTAATATAGCAAAGTTCCTTCTCTTCACAGTCTATTTTTAGTTACCTCCTTGATTAGAAGCTATTATTGATTCCCTCACTAGGGGGAACTTGTGTCCAGCTTGCCTTATTCACACCACACTGCATTCTAATGAACACCGCCCTCCTAATGCCTCTTTAAAAGCCTTTGCTCAGTAATACGCTGCTTGCATAATGCAGTGATCAAGAAGCTAACAGAGGTTGCACTCTTATCGCTGTGGGCAGAGCTCAGCTGCCATCCTGCCAAACAAGCAGCAGCTCAGATTGCTCATATTTTAGCAATGAAAGGAATCTCTGTATTTGCAATGGGATCAAACAATAGACTCTACTGCACAAGGTCAGTCAGGTTTCATGCTTGTCTTCTGCTCATTTTGGTTATCCGTTTTTGCAAACCATTGGATATACTTGAGAAAATGTACTGGTCTGTAGAACACTAGGGGAAAATGTAATTCTCTCTCTCTATTATGGACAGTTAAGAATTTCAAAAGCGTAACAGATATATATGATATCGGTCAGAAGAGTAATGAAGCTTTTGTTGACCATACTCTACACATCAGCATATGATGACAGCCAGAAAATATTTACATGTTAAAAGGCACTGTCCCAAATTCCTTCACCCGGACAGGTTTCACGGGTTTCTGGGAACCACGGGTACACCATCTCAGCAGCTACCTTGTTTAATATTTTCCTGGTCCAACATGTTGGTGATAAACTCACCTCTTATATTTCCACTATCTCTTACCAATAGTCCAGTAATAAAACAGAGCATTCTTTTGCATGGTGGGACGAAGAGAATAGAGAACTCCATCCTTCACTGGATGCAAAAGCAGGCTGGAGTGGAAACAGTTGAAACACAAAGTCCTGTATTGTTTCTTGTGCAATCAAATAGCTGAAAGCCAACATAGTGTTACTGGGAGGGAACTGATGGGTCTTCAGTATTCCACAAATCCATCCAGGTGCTTCCAGGTCTCTTTCACATTTCATCCTTTACAGGTTCTAATATCCTGGTCACTTTTCAACTATCATTAAACACCCAGTAGTGTTCTTGTAGCTCCCTACATCCAATGCCTTGCTGAAATGACTAATGTTGGACTTTCTACCAAGCAAAACCCAATCACATTGCACTTACTGGCTATGCTCCTCCTAGTGTTTCAAGCTGCTTTGAGTAAGCAAGAGTTCATTGCTGCGCAACCTTGAGAATGAACTCCCTGTCTCTTCCCAGATTCTTCCTTGCAGTGGGAAATAAAATGTTTTCCTGTTCTAAAAATGCAGCTAATTATTCTCTGTGTCCTCACATATTTCCTCTTGCAAGCAAGGGAGGAGACTAAGGGGCAGTGAATAAAGACCTTAATCCATTTTTCTATCCTTTCATGTCCACTAGTTTGCAGACGGAGTAAGGGCAAGCAGCATTCATTTTTTTCTGTGCTGGCAGGATTACAACTGCAGAAGAACTAAGCAGAAGGATTAGGAGAGAAGAGAGGTCTCGGTTGTTATGATAATTTAATTCGTTATTCTCCAAATATCCTATAACATCTACTTCCTCCCCCCACCCAAGTCAGCACAACCAACTAGCTTCACTACTTATTAAGTTTTATACATGATCTGCAATAATTGTTAAGTAACAAGCAATAGAGGATTATAAATAAAAAGCAGTACAGATAACTGGATGTAATGGAACTGATAATTTTTCTTCAAGACTGATTGTGCAGTTCCAAAGAAAACATGTCAATGCATCTTTGGAGCAGAAACAGCACATTCAGTATAGTTTGTAAGCACTGCACGATTTGGGCCAATTTGCCATTAATTCTTAAAGAGTGTCTGGTGCTTCATGGAAAACTTCTATATATAGAGACGTTCTTGCTTATAGATCATTTTTACATTTCTCTTCCTCTTTTTCCTCTATTACTGCTTAGTGGAGCCAACACACTGATCCAGAATTCAAGTCAGGGGAGCTGTCTCCTGGCTCAAACTAATGGCAGGGGGAAAACTGAGAAGCTTCTTAACTCTTTCCTCACCAAAATTTTATTTAGTGTTACTGACTTTTTGGGATAAATGGCATCATTTAACAAATTTCTTCTTAAAAACCCGTTAAAACAGCTGCCCAGCACTCCTTCATACATATAACTTAAAAGCAAGGTAAGAGAACTGTCATTATTGAAACTACGAAGAATATAAAAATGAGAGTACTTTAAAAGAAATACAAATCAAAAATAATCAGATAAAGCAAGCTGAGCTCCATCTGGCTGCAAAAATACACAAATATCAGAGTCAAGTTGAAGATTTCAGCAGTGCAGGGAAAATAAATTCTGCTAGAGAGATGCATCTTATTACTTCGCAGTAACCGTGATTCTGATGAACACGCTTATTTATCTCAGGCAGTTTTTAGGACATGTCCCCTTGCAAGCAGGGGTTATCATGAGTAAATTTAACAGCAAAAGGCTTGCACGTTAAATCTCTGTTTCAACACACATTTTGCACTAAAAATGCTGTTTTGTAATTTAATTTTGCTTACTCCTAAACCAGACTGAAAAATGGCACTTCCAGTAAGGAGTGTCCAGATGGGCAGCTATTGCAGAAAAGCCCTTTCAGAACAGCTACTCTAGACTATTTCTCTGCACAATCAGGTCACTGCTCATACAGCCAGTCTGCCCAGAAAAGAGACGTCCTATTGTCTTCAAAGACACTACTCAATGTGACAAGTTTGC